ACTGGCCGTCAGAGTAATGTACGACGTGATGAAGCACGACATGGTGGATGGAATCAAAACAATGTCGCCATCCATCACCCCGTACCGAAACTGCACGGGGGTGGATTGCACGACATGATGGTTGGCGACATCACGTGTTGTGGTAGAATAGTGATGTGACTAGATCGATAATATTATATGCATTTCTAACTTAATCGATATTGTTTTTATATTAAATATATTCTTTAGTAAGCTTGGTCGCTCACTTCGTTTGCTCCAGGGGGGCACTGTTCTAACCTAACCTAACCTACTGTGTCGGATTTGCGTTAAGGCTAAACTTCAGACTAGTGGCGCCCCCAAACAGGAAAAAAATCCCTGGCTGAACACGCTGGTCATCTGGAGCCCAATTTATGAATTGCCGACAATAAATAACCACAAAGATCAATAAAATGTATAAAAATTGGTATCCATTTATTTAAAGTGGCCACTTTTAGCAATTTCGGCTTACATAACTAAAGTACACAGTTTTTCCAAGGTTTTACTGATTCTAAAAATTCTTTGTTGTGAGTTATTGTCGGTAATTCATAATGTGGTTTCTCAATCACTTGCGTATTCAGTCAGTGAATTTTTTTAGTGTCGCTAACGTTGAGCCTTAAATGTGTTTTTTTTTACTGCCCCCCCCGTGGGTTGCCTTGCATGTCATGTTCGAATAATTCATCGATAAGTCGATCAAAGTCAACACTGTCACATCACTACATCCGCTGTGACGTCATTTGTTTTGATTCCATTTCCACCCCTGTACATTATCGGTCCGGGCCCGTATTTCAAGACCATCCATCCATCATGTCGTACAATGATCTGCTGTACAATACGCTGCCGTGCATTAACCTGCTGTGCATTGAGTATGTCGTGCATTGTGGTTCCCGGCAGTACAGTCTGAAGACCTTCGCCTGTACGAAAACGAAAAAAAAAAAAACCAACACGCTAAGAGCGTAGTCTATGCGCGAGGCAACCGCCTGAGCGGCGTTGATTTTGGCTCGGCCTGCGCGCGCTCGCCCGAGCATGATCTTGGGTGACCCCGAGCGTATGCCGCGCGAGGCGTTGAGCACGCGAGCTGCCGCGGTCAGTGTGGACGCGCCTATTCAGAAAACTGTATCACCATAGTGACATATTGCCAGCCTGTCGCCTAAAATTGCAATACACATCAACTTTCAAATCGCACCTATTCAAAGCCGGTATCACCTGGAATTTATATTTTATATTTCAGATGTAAGTTATGCGGAACAACAGTACCGTTACATTGGAACGCTTGTTTAAGACAGCACGCGGAGTCACACGCGTTCTACTGGACATGCAAGATCTGCAGAGACAACAGGGCTGTATATAAGTAAGAATCCCTTGGGATTTTAATGCACTCACAGCGCTATACAGGGAGTAACAGAAAGGGTATTATTATTACAAGCCGAAAGGAGGTGAAAGTACTCATGAAACTGAACAACTTTCCCCATGTAACATGGGTCGAAATATGAAAATAATTGGGCCTCCCATATTTAATCAGTCAGCTGATCGGCGATTTTGTATGGGAGGTCCAAATTTTATTTTCATATTTTAACATATGTTCCATGGGAAAAGTTGTTCAGTTTCATGAGTACCTTCACCTCCTTTCGGCTTGTATAATACCCTTTCTGTTACTCCCGGTACATATTATTCTCAAAAATGAAAACAAGAAATTGAAAAAATGGCATGCATGTAATACTTTCTACAGATGTCGCTAGATCGTCGCTTAGAGAGCATCAAGAGATTGAAAATTTGACAGGCATGGATCTGTGCATCGATACCTCAGTGGCAGAGCGGTGGGGCATTGACTCATACGGCCCGGGTTCGAGCCCCGGTCGGTACATGTAATTTTTTCAATTTCTTATTTTTTCATTTATGAGTAGGATTCTCTCCTGATCGACAGATCTCCTGATTAAATTTTCGAATGGTCGCCGATTGTAACTATTTGTGTGACTATATTAAATTTTACTTAGGTAGGTACTGAGTAAAAAATAATACTGAATTGATTCCAGCTGTTTCTAAGATTTTGCTATCGGTCGCTAGTAAAATTTCACCTTGTATAAAGGTAATTTTTATCTTTTTAAGTTTGAATTAGAATGTGACTTTCTTAAAGAGAATCTTGTAAATTCCTACTAAGAAATAAATGCTTTGACTTTGACTTTGTCTATTTCAGGTCGTTCAAAGACTTCGCGTACCACTACCGCAGCCTCCACAGATGCTATATATGCCACTACTGCGGCAATAGAAGCAAGACCAAAAACGGGGTCGCCACACATATTAGGTGAGTGTGTGTGTGTGTGTGAGTGAGAGAGAGAGAGTTTGTTTTAATTTATAAAAATGAAAAAATAATCAATATAGTTTACAATCTAAAATTACAATGAAAACTAACGGATACTGGACCACTAAAGATTTCAGAAAAATAAAAGATTTCTATTTGCGGTTGGTAACCATACAGCTGCAAACAAACGAGCAACAAAATTAACTTTGTAACGCTGAAAGACCTGATATTTAAACATTGACTACGAAACCCTATTTGTGAGCGTGTCTGACACGCTCTTGGCCGGTTTTTTTAGTTTTAATACATTTGGGCATATTATGAGGAGGGATGGAAATCATGTGACGAAAAAGGTAATGAATATGAATGTGGATTTTTTTTGGAAAACTTCCAAAATTTCACCGCAGGCAGGATTTTGGAAGTTTTCCAAAAATTGTTTACCTAACACGAGAAGTGTTTTAAAATTTGGTATTCAATGAATGTGGATGGTCGCAGAAGGAAGCAGAGGAAGGCCTAAAAAAGTTTGGATGGATTGTGTAAAAGATGATATGAATCAAAAAGGTGTAAACGAACATTTGACGGCTGATAGAGAATAATGGAAGAGAAAGACATGTTGCGCCGACCCCAAATAAATTGGGATAAGGGCAGGCAGATGATGACATTTGCTTGTTTTAAACACTTTATTCTCTTTTGCAGACTAAAACATATGCCTCCCGAGTGTAATATCTGCAACAAGCAATTCAAAGATAACCACTGTTTAAGGCGACACATGAGCAATACCCATCCGGGGGCGATCGACAAAAAGGTAAACTGAACAACTTTCTTCAAAACTGAACAACTTTCCCGAGACAATTTAAAGACAACCACTGCTAAAGGCGGCACATGAGCAATACTCATCCGGAGGCGATTGACAAAAAGGTAAACTGAACAACTGTCCCCAAAACTGAACAACTTTCCCGAAACGGTTCCTGAACAACCACTGCCTGAAACATCAGTAATACACATCCGGAGGTTATCCACAAAAAGGTAAACTGAACAACTTTCCCTAAAACCGAACAACTTTCCCGAAAAGATTCAAAAACACCCACTGTTTAAGGCGACACATGAGCAATACTCATCCAGAGGCGATCGACAAATAGGTAAACTGAACAGCTTTCCCCAGACAATTCAAAGACAACCACTGTTTAGGGCGACACATGAGCGATACACATCCAGAGGTCATCGATAAAAAAGGTAAACTGAACAACTTTCCCCAATAGTAAACAACTTTCCCCAAAAATAAACAACTTTCCCCAGACAATTTAAAGACCACCACTGCTTAAGGCGACACATGAGCAATACCCATCCAGAGGCGATCGACAAAAAGGTAAACTGAACAACTTTCCCCAAAACTGAACAACTTTCTCGAAACGATTCATGAACAACCACTGCCTGAGCCGACACATCAGTAATACACATCCGGAGGTTATTGACAAGGAGTTAAACTTATCAACTTTGCCCAAGACTGGACAACTTTTCCCAGAAAATACAAAGAAAACCACTGTTGAAGGCGACACATGAGCAATACTCATCCAGAGGTGATCGACAAAAAGGTAAACTGAACAACTTTCCCCAAAACTGAACAACTTTCCCGGAACGATTCATGAACAGCTACAGCCTGAGACGACACATCAGTAATACATATCCAGAGGTCATCGACATAAAGGTAACTGAACAACTTTCCCCAGACAATTCAAAGACAACCACTGTTTAGGGCGACACATGAGCGATACACATCCAGAGGTCATTGATAAAAATGTAAACTGAACAACTATCCTCAGAAAACAACATCTGTCAGAAAAGGCCTCGTACAAAAAAAATGTCTAAAATGTCTAAATAGTCGAAAAAATAAAAATATAAAATGAAAAAGTCGTCGGTTAGATGTCGGCCTTTGGTCGGCCTAGAATCCGCTACTTGACTGACAGGTCAAATGAGCTACTTTTTAAGACGACCGAAAACGAAATTTTGTATGAATTTATAGAAATATAACGTCATAATTCAATATTTTGGATGGAGTCAAAACAATAACTTTTATAAAATTATGGTGTTTATAAATTCTAACTTTTGATATTTTGGCAAATGATGAATGAAGTCTGTAGTATTTTTGGGAAATTGTTTTAAGCATATAACTTTATATTTTATTTATGACCCTGTCAAGTAGCGAATAGCATCACTCAATCGTGTTATATTTGATTTGACTGTCCCGATGGCGTAGTGGATAGTACCCCTGCCTTCTACGCCGAGGGTCGTGGGTTCGATTCCCACCACACACAAATATTTGTAAAGTCAATTTTCAAGTATTTGTGTGTAGTCTGGGTGTTTTCTATGTATGATATGTATTTATTTAAAAAAAAAAGTATATAAGTATTATATAAGTTGTCTAGTTCCCATAGTACAAGCTTTGCTTAGTTTGGGGCTAGATGGCGCTGTGTGTCTCGTCCAGGGATATTTATTATTTATTTATTTATTTGCTTTTTCAGGTGAAACCGGAGCTCACGTATTGTGTAGAGTGTGACAAACAGTTTCCGAGTCAAGCCAAATACAGACTTCATCTGAAAACCACGATAGCGCACAACCCACTAGTAGCGGCTAGGAAGATCATGTGAGTATATTAATAACAAGAAAAATTGAGAAAATTTAAAAATTCACTAGCGTCCGCCGGGTCTTGAACCCGGGACCGTGGGGTACCGTCCCACCGCTCTGATAACTGAGCTATGGGCGCCTGGCGGAATCTGATGAATTTCTCAGCCAGACGCCCGTTTTTTTTTTTCTATTTTCTCATTTTCAATTTATGAGAATTATATAAGTTGCACTGTGATTAAAAATCCCAATACAAATTCGGGTTCCATTCTTTCTTCGCAAATTATACTAACTATCTGCTCAAGTTATACTTACAATGTGCATTTTTTCAGCGTCCCGTGTCCTGATTGCGGCAAGATTTTCTCGCGCAAGTCCTACATGAACAATCATTATAGGCTATTCCACCAGAAACAGACGAAACATTATTGCGAACTTTGTGATAAGGTGAGTGAGATCTTGCCGTGTGGTGCCGGTTTAAAATAGTGTATACAACTGTATATTAAGCTTAGAATGCTCGTGTCAAACTATTATCACACTCAGCTGCGCCTCGTGTAATAAACAGACACTGGCATTCTAATGCCTCCCATTATAAGACAGTTTCATAAAGTACTATCATACGCGCGAATTGTCTTTGTAATTTTAGATTCTCTTTTTTAGTTTTAGTGAAATGAATTCCTCTTTTTTATTCTAGCAGGTGTAGTATAAAGCAATATGTATCACTTGCAAGAAACTCCGATTACAAACTCGTGTTGAGTATTGAGGCCCTCGGCTGCGCTTTTGCAATCAACACCCTCTTTTTCAATCTTATGCCGTGTGGTGCCGGCACAGTAGAATAGCACCACCCCCTCTCTTCCCGTAGGGGTCGTAAGAGGCGACCGAGGGATAAACCCGACCCAACCAGCCAGGGCCAACCGTATGGTGGCGGTTAATCCACCACAAAAGCATTCCCAAGGAGGGTTGACGTGTGGTAGGCGGCCGGTCGTAGAATTCAGCCAAATCCTTTTGCTACACGATTTTGTGTTCAACGAAACGTGTTGCGCCGACCCCAAGTAATTGGGATAAGGGCAGGAAGATGATGATGACCCTCTTTTTCAATCTGTTCCTTTCTTACCGCGTGGACGTTGTACTATTTGTTAATCGTTCCAGTACCTGGGTTCCGGGTGGGCGATGAAGGTCCACATAAAAGGAGTCCATCAGAAGATCAGGGAGCCCAAGACCAAGGTCTGCGACATATGCGGGAGAGCTTTCCAGGTAAAAATAAAAATAGAAAAATAAATAAAAAATAAAAATGATTTATTTCATTCACAATAATAACAAACAGTGTACATATGTTGGTGCACTTCTTTTAAGTATGTAATACTTGTATTAGAAGGCCCCGCTCTTCCTCAAACTTAAATGTAAATGAAATTTAAATTGATTAAACAAAAACCGTTGATGCCGGCCTAGAATAGCATCACCCCAATTCTACCCGTGGGTGTCGTAAGAAGCGACTAAGGGATCATTATCCAGGGAATAGGCAGCAGCGTTCCCTGTGAATTAAACATCTTGCACTGCGCTCGCCAATCCGCCTGCCAAGCGTGGTGAGTATGGCAATACCCCCCAATACGGGGGAGGCCCATGTCCAGCAGTGGACTGTTGAGGCTGTAAAGGTAAACAAAAACAATAGAGGGGGAAATCAGATACCTAGATAGATTTAGATTGGGTAAGGTAAGATAATAGAGAGTGAAATTAGTGTAAATATAAGTGACAGTGTCAAAAACATCAATAAAAAGGGGGAAAAAATGGCTAAACCGTTTTGTTTCTGGCAATAATCGTTATCTTAAAAGTTGTGACGCAATGCCTTTTTCTTGAGACTTCGGTAAATAAGCTTTTAATTTAATTTCGAATGTTTATTGGGAGGATGTGATTACTACTACTTAATTGCAACTTGAGCTGAGTTTTAAGTCACCAGAGAATAAGATATCTAAACATGTAACGGTTGTAATGCTTTAGTTGAGACGGCCACTCGCTGCATCCGCCGCCAAATGACAGTTGTATGGCGCTCCTTTTTCCACTTGGTGGTAAACTCCGAAAACAGCAGTCAATTTTAATTACTAATAATAAAAATGGGAGGCGAATCATATCAGATGACTTCTTTTGACCCACCTTGTAGATAGGTTTAGTTTTCCAAAAATCGTTGCTTCACACTTTTTTGTAAATTCTTTTAAAACTATCAAAGACATTTGTTGATGAGTAAGACAGTATAACCGTGTTTGTAAGTTGTTTTGAAACTAACGCATAAAAAAACAAAAACCGAGTGAGCTCGGTCCACCAGCTCGTAGTGACATTAAACGCGAGGACGCTGTGAGTTTGTATTGTCGTGACTTTCAAGTGAGTTCCGGCAGTGATCGACAGAATCGTAGGAAACGATATAGAATGCAGAAAGGCGTACCAATAAAGTGAAGATTCATTCAAAACATCAGTTGTCCTGTGAAAGAAAACAGATCATGACCCATGTAAATGGGACGAAATATCGGGTAATTCAAATCAAAGAAAATATCGCGGTAAGAACCCTGTTTTAATATTTTAGTCATTTCATTATGTGTGACCGCGAAAGTTCAAAACAATACAAGGTGGGCCAAAAGAAGTCATCCGATGTGATTCGCCTCCTATTTTTTTATTAGTCATTAAAATTGACTGCTGTTTTCGGAAATCAATCTTTCGAAGATGCAGAATTTATGTAGTTATGTTTTAAAAAAGACTTTAGTCAAATTGCCATCTCTACTGTGTGTTTTAACTTTAAACACGCTAATCTCCATACATTCATGACCATGCTTTTTTTTCGTTTGTGGTGTCGGTTTCGTCATCAGGGACTTGAAAGTTTTATGACTTGTAATTTGTAATCTTGATCTTTCAAAAATACCATTGGGTGAATTCTACCGTTGTCAGATCTGGATATCTGACCAACCGGTTCAAAAACCAAAGCCTGTGGATTGGTTTTCACACATCTGGAATAAGCATCTAACCGTTTTCTTTATTTTTTATTTTGCAGCATTGAGTTCACATCTATTCAGTGATAACAAAACTTTCAAATAGGACCGTTTTAACACGTGAAGGGAGATTTTCAGAGACCATTTTTGATTTAACTCAGGAGGTGGCTATTTGACCAATGTCTTTTTTAAAAACATAATCACATAAATTCTGAATCTTTGAAAGATTGATTTCCGAAAACAGCAGTCAATTTTGATTACTAATAAAAAATGGGAAGGCAAATCACATCGGATGACTTCTTTCTGCCCACCTTGTATATTTGAAATTACCGCAGTCGTGTCTTTGTTTTTTACATCTGTTTGTTCCTAAACTATACTTCTTTCTTGTTTGTTACAGACGAATGCAGTCCTAGCGAAACATCGTCGCACCCACACTGGGGAGAGACCGTACAAATGCGTCCACTGTCCCGCAGCCTTCGCACAATCGTCTGCACTAAACTCACATACTAGGACACAACACAAAGCGTAGCGCAGCTTAAAAGTTCTCAACATATCCTCAAGATGGCGTTGTTAATAATTTCACATTAGAAAGGAACGCCTGAAACGCGATGTAAAAGTATTTTTGTCCACTGCCCGGTAGTTTTTGGCCAATCTTCTGCACTTAACTCACATACTAGGACACAACACAAGGCGTAGCGTTGCTCAATAGTCCTCGACTTAGCCGCGAGATGGCGATGTTAATAATTTCATATGAAAACAATGCGCCTGAAACGCGATATCGAAGTTTTTTTACAAATGCGTTCACTGCCCTGCAGCCTTCGCACATTCTTCCGCACTAAACTCACATACAAGGACACAACATAAGGCGTAGTATTGCGACAAATTTACGTGTGCCTCATTTCATATAAAGTTTTTTGATAAAATTGTTGTTTAGCTCATGTTTAACTCAGTTTAAGTTCAGATTTTCGTTTGTATGACGTAACGCTGCGCCTAAAACGCGGTATCGAATTATTTTTTACAAATGCATCTACACTGACATACTAGGACACAACACAAGGCGTAGCGTACCTCAAAAGTTCTCAACGTAGCCTCAAGATGGCAAATAATTTAATATCAGAAAGAAGCGCCTAAAACACGGTATCGAAGTCTTTTTACGAATGCATTCTCTGACTTACTGGGACACAACACACAGTTCTCAACGTACCCTCAAGTTAGCGCTGTTAATAATTTTATATTAAACTGAAGCACCTAAAACCTAGATAAGAGTGGACAAGAAAGAAGATCATGAAACGCGGTATCGGTTTTTTCCCGAGCAGCTGCTAGCAAAAAGAAAACTGTATTCTCATACTAAGACACAGCATTATCACGCTTAAAGCTATTGCGGAGTGGGCAGACAGTCAAATGCATTAACTGTCCGGCGGTCTTAGTTCAATAATTGGCTTCAGGCGTATCTATGTAACACCATCTACAGGCCTTAGTGAGGAACTAGGAGTTCTCAACTCAACCTCAAGATGGCGCTGTTCACAATTTCGCATTACAGCGATCCGCCTGTAACGCGGTATTAAAATGATATCATGAATTCATTCTTATTGAATAATTTCTGGGATGTAAATACTTGTTTCTTATTTATTTATTGTAACTTATAAAATTATAAAATGTAAATAATATGTCTTACTATTAAACAAGTTTTACAATACTTTGTCGTTTCATTGCAATATTTTTCCCCTCTTGATTTTTCTTTCACATAAATATATTACGCCTATATCCCTTGAAGGGTACGCAGAGCGTTAACGCCTGTCAAAATGGCCATTTACACCACATTTGACAAAAGTTTGTTTGAGTCATTCCCATGACAGTGTATGACCATAAGCACAGGTTGTCAACCCATCGCCTAAAACTGTAATACACATGAACTCTCAAATCTCTAAGTCCCTTCTTACGTCACCCACGGGAAAAGTATGGGATGATTCTAAGATATGTGGATTAATTCCAAGCCATATCAAAATATTTTATTCAATATTTTAATAGGATACAGAAATATTACTTATTGATAGTCATTATTACACAGAAATTTGTAAAGAAGAGTTTGCAAGGCACAATTTTCTCTTTTTTTTCACAAATAGTATAAACGCGGCCGAGCAAGATAAAAAAAATAAAAATAAAGGCACTGCCT